GGGTGAGGATCCCAGAGGAGCAGGGACCGCCAGGGAGGTTTTAGGGCTGGTTTGGCAGTTGTCGGGGGAGCTGGGCAAGGTCAGGGGAACCTCAATCCAAGGAACACAGGCAAGCACTGAATGTGGGGACAAGAAGAGGGGCCAGCCTTGAGTGGGAAGATGGGAAGGGAGCCGGGTGGCTGGGTAGGGTGAAGGGCCATACGTCAGTGATCTCTAGGTCATGGATAATGGTGTCTTCCGGGACATCAAGATCGTCAGGGTGGACGATCTGCAACAGGAAGATGGACTTGACGAAGGTGTGCTCTGGGTTCAGCGTCAGCGTGTCGTCCTGGCCGTAGGCAGCGAGTACCCGCACTGTGTCACTCTGGGTGTTGGTAGAGTGTGGGCTGTGCCCGTGAATGGAACTTTGCATGCCCCACCCACAGAGCTCACAGGCCACCTGCTCATGTCTACACTGTGGTGTGGAGAGAGCTTAGACTGGGCATCAGGACCCGGGTTCCAGTCTCCGAGGCTAAGTTGCTGGTAATGTTGGGAGGACACTGTCCCTCCCATTCCCTCTCTACTTGTGTCCTCATCTGGAAAATGAAATGGTGTAATTCGACTCTCGTGTCTTAACACTCTGAGTTCAATGGAACCAGATCAGTCTCTTCAAATCCCATATGTCCTGCCAGAGGGGGCACTGGGAAGGGTGGGGGTGGGTGCTGAGTCAGAAGTGACCCTGCAGAGCACTCCTGGACATGGCATGATTGGGCAGTGCCTGGGAAGGTTGAGGGAGATAGAAGTCCCAGGGATGGGGTCCGGATGGGGACATTTCCAGAGGGGAGGTGACTCCACCTCCCTGGAAGAAAGCTGCTTGTGCCTTCACACCATTCATGCTCCCCATTTTACCGTGATGTCCTGGTCATGAGGGTCGCAGGAGCGGAAGGGCCGGGAGAAACGCATGGTGGTGTAGACAGCATCTTCCACGAGCCCCTGCAGCTCTGCATCCTGGCTCCCGTCCTCCTCCAGGGTGTCTTCATCCACCAGGTGCTGATCCTGGGTCCAGGAAGGCCAGGAGTAAGAACCAGGGGCTCCAATGGCTGTGCTTTGGCAGCAGTAAGTGTCCCTCCCACTCCCCCAGGTGCTGACAGCCAAGCTCAGGTCTTCCTTACCAGGTAGGTCCTCCCAGGACAGAGTGGACCGAGGGTTACAGGAGCAGGTCACCAGGTATTTCTCCCAAAGAGTGGCTGGTGGGTTTGAACCACTGACCTTTCATTTAGCAGCTGATGGCTTAAGCATTGTGCCACCAGGGCTCCTTGACATAGGGATGGACCATGTTCGATGGAGTTCTACCACCCAACCTTGGTTTTCTACTCCTATTTCAAGTCTCCTCTCCATAAATCCTGACCTTCCTATAGGGCCCCCACCCTTGAAAGCTCACCTGTCCTCTGCACTGTCTGGGCAACTCACCCGCCCTCAGCTGGCTCTTAACATGCATCCCCTAGTACTGTTGATGCTTCCTTACATAATGGAGGCTGAGGAGAGTGAGCGACAGTTCAGGGTGGGTGGTTTGGGAGATGTGTGAGGGAGGTGCCTCTTCAAGGGTCAAATGGGGGTAATCATAACCCAACTCAAGGATGCTGTGGGGTTTGACATCCCAACCATCTGGAACACTGCCTGCTTAATCAGTACCTACAATTTTAAGCTGTTCTTCTGGTAATTGTTAGACTATGCCATGTCCAGAGGCATGACCGAGCTTAAAGGGAATTGAGGACAGGGACTGTGTCTCAAACAACTTTGCACCTTCCCCAGTAACCTGCATGGAGCGGGCTATTAGTAAGCACTGGGTACAAGACTCAGTCCAACGGCTCTGCTCCCTTAGCAGCCTTGGAGCATGCGTCTGAAAGACCTCAGTTGAAGCTCCACCATGGGCCACCACTGTAGGGAGAGAGCAGCAGTGAGCAGCTGTCCTGGGAGTGTGTCTTGATATGTTTGGGGAAATGTGGAGCCCCTCATGGTGGACATGGAGCTGTCTTCCATCCAGCAGAGGACCCTCACCCTGGGGAGGGAGTTACCCTCAGACTCACCGAGAAATAGACGTTGCCATCAGGCAAGACCCCGCCAACCACCAGATCACCTCCCACGTTGGTGTAGCGGTCCGTGACACCCAGGCCCACCCAGCCAGCTGTCTGGACCTGCAGCTCAAACGTGATGACCTCAGCCTCAAGGTCAAAGTCCCAGCGTAGGAACATGACATTAGATGGATCTAAGAACCTGGAATAGCGTAGGCGAGACTTGGGGCCAAGGCGATGGCCTTGGGAGGAGGTGGCCAGGGCCAGGAGCAGGAGCAGATGGAAGAAGAGTGCATAGGTCATGGCTTCTGAGGTCCAAAGCATGTCTCCTGGGAAGAGACCTGGAGGTCTCAGGCTTATATGTGCCTCTACTGTGCCAGGCACCGGGCCACAGAGAGG